TGGGGGGGGGGGGGGGGGGATGTGACTATGTTTCATGCTACAACCTAAATATGGGCCTAAAATTTCACATGGTCCCAGGGGTAGACTGCGCCTTCAATGGCCTGCGCTATGGTCAACACTCACTGCTGATTCGCTGCCCATTGGACAGGCAGGTAACCCTACATGGAGGTAAATAAAGCATGGGTTACCATAACAATGAGGCACCAGCAGCCACCTTTCAAATACGCTGCTATGGGCAACATGCGCTGCCTCTAGCTTTAGTTATGTCCACAAAGACTTCGTGAACAGTATTTCTAGTGATAAAGACATGATAGCAACTACACACCGGGAAAAGTGTCACCACATTACAATACACGGGTGATAATACAGACACAGCTACACACAATCACACAGCACAGCGATAGGAGCCGCAATCACACTACACACATAAGCTGATCCCCTCACTGCCAACTCCTCTCTTCTCATCTTTCTCCAGCCGCTGCCACTTCCTGTTCCTTGTCGCCGCTCTTCATGATTGGCCAGTCACACGACTTCCTGCTCGCTGATTGGCCGTGCCCACCTTTTTGTGTCTGAGGGGAGAGTTCGGAAGGAGGACACCAGGGGGCGCTGCTGAGTATGCAGAGAGGCGGGAAGGGAGACGCAGAACTAGAATCGTGTGAGGAGGAGGACAAGAAGTGCTGTGAGAGGAGCCCGAGTATAGAAGGCGGGTGTGTGAGGATTGTGTGGAGGGCCGGGGAGGCTTTTTTTTTTATCACATCCAAATGCCTTGTTACTAAATCAGAACTCATTATGCATGGTGACCAAAGGTATGAGGTGCCAGGAAAACACACATACCTCCCAACTTTTTTGAGATGAAACAAAGGGGGGTGGGGGGGGGGCACTTTTCAGCACGAAGTATGTGCACAAACGACGCTTCCACTGTTACAGAGACCATGAAAAATAAAAATATTGGTTAAACTTTGTTACTTTTTAGTTTTGGATAAAGTCAAGGAGGACTGTAAGCCCCTGTCAGCTGCTTCATTCACCATCTGCGTCCCCAGTGAAGAGATTTCATTTCCTGTCTGACTCCTAGAATTAGGGTTGTCACCTTATCTTCAAGTGAAACCCGAACACTGTAGCGCCACGTGCTGCAATTTTTTTATTTTAGAGAATATAGAAAAGGGAGTAAGAAGACTGGCTACAGCAATACATTATACAGCAATGCAAAATAATATGAAGCTACATACTCTGAGGGGAATTTATCAAAAATTGGAGCAGCTGTGCACGGCAACCAATCAGCTTCTCTCAGGTGAGCTGTGCGCCTCTCAGGTGGGCTGTGCGCCTCTCAGGTGGGCTGTGAAACCTCACAGGGGTTCTAAACCCCTTTCTACACAGCATTACCCCTCTCCATCACCTGTCACAGCATTACCCCTCCACTCTCCATCACCTGTCACAGCATTACCCCCCCACTCTCCATCACCTGTCACAGCATTACTCCTCTCCATCACCTGTCACAGCATTACCCCTCTCCATCACCTGTCACAGCATTACCCCTCTCCATCACCTGTCACAGCATTACCCCTCTCCATCACCTGTCACAGCATTACCCCTCTCCATCACCTGTCACAGCATTACCCCTCTCCATCACCTGTCACAGCATTA